ATCTCTCTTTGCTGTCATATTCCCTTCTTGCCTTACCTCTGTCCTGCATTCTCCGCAGACAAAAAACAAGGCATTTTCTCCAGCCTGGCATCCCAGACCTAGACACAAAGAAAGACAAGTCTGTAGTGTCTCGAAGGAGTTTGCAGATGTGCAGCTGGAATACAAAACCCAGCTTCTTTATAGGGCTACACCTTGACAAAGAGGCAAGTCCATCCGTGCTTGCAAAGACAGGAAAACTGCTGCATGCAAAAGCCTGACTGTGAACCATCCAGGCTGCTTTTTGCTGCAGGCGTGGAGCAACTTCGCATGTCCACAGCGGAAGAAGCAGATGGTGAAAGAAGGGTGGACAGATGAATGGGTAAATCACAAGGAGCTGAGCAATTCCTTAAAGGGCATGTTTGTCTTTTATGCCAACCACACAGAAACCACAACAAATGCAGTCCAATGAATTAGAATTCCTGTTCAGGGGATGAAAATATCCACAGCCACCCAACAATGAAATTGATAAGCCAAGTTCCTTTGGAAATTTCTTTTTTACATCTCCACTGTAGAAAATGTATCTGTTGGTATCCCTTAGTACAGGAAAAGAGTGAAAAACCTATTCTTTTTGAACTCATGCTCAGGTTTTTTTTCTTATGTCCATCAGACTTAAGAGCATACACACATTCCCCAAAGGATGAAGGGTCACTACGTCCATTTGCAGCAGAGCTTGCAAAAATGCTAAAAAAAATCATGGCTATCAACAGTTTTCTAAGCTAATTCTGGTTGCAGTAACTATGTCACTCCTACAGATTCTGTTGCAAAATGACATTAAGCCTATTTCTGATTGAAGCTGTTGGATGATCTTAGGAAATCCCTAAGCTGTATTTGAGAGGAACTCCAATTTCTATACAACAAGCACATAACATTGTTCCCTATCTCATGACATATATGAAGAGAGAAGATAGGACAACACTGTAGACACAAGACATGATTTAAAGTGCATTATAAAACTGAACACAAAATACAGGTTCAAGAAAGAACAGGACAAAGCTCCTTTAGATCTCCATTCAATTTAGCATTAAGTCATCATCAGATTTTTTTTCTTTTTTCTTTTTTTTTTTGACTAATTTTTAGTTTGCAAGCAAAACTAAGATAGCACAAAAGCAATCTGGCACTGCAGCTTGTGACCCAACAGGCAATCCCTTGGGATTTTCCTTCCTAGTCTGCATGCCTGCCAATTACCCACTAAATGATTCTAACTTCAAGTCTTCCTGAAAAAAAAATCCACAGTGTCCATCTAGACTTTCTATCAAAGGGGTTTTGGTTTCTTTTTTTGCTTGTTTTGAGGCAGCAATTGTATATTTCTGAAAATACAATAAAAAATACAAAAGTCTAGACTATGCTTCAGGTTGCCTTAGGAAAATATAGAGAAGAAAGTAAAGAAATATATGCTGGGACTTGATTTTGGGAAGAGATGTAATCTTTTCTAGGAAGGAAAGAAACACATCTGGACCTCTGATGCTGCAAGAAATAGTTTGCAAACAGTTTTGCTTGTTGCACAGTTATTTTTGGCCTCACACAGACTAAGACACACAAATTCCACAAATGCAAACTATAGAAAGCAAAAAAAAAAACACTTGCTCTGTTTTAAAAATATTTTTATTGGCATAACACAAATTCTTTCATACTATCACTTCTGAGATTAAGAGACAGAAAAAAAAAAATTAAAAGAAAACCAGAAGGAATTTTTGCATCCCCCAGAAAAACACAGATGAGTTGTCGTATGTTGAGTGGCTCTTAAAGTGTATGAGGACACAGTGCCCTAGCACTACGGCTTATCTCACAAAATGTCCAGCTGTTATGTACTCAGTTTTATTTCATCTTAAAGCCAAGATGTGAAAAATAAGTTAGAATATCAAGGTCTTAGGGTAGGATGAAACCTTAGTGTCTGAGATAAGAGAATCAGTCTCTGAAGAACAAAACCCCCAAACATCAATATAGTTTGGTCTGGGGTTCCTGCAGGTTTTGGTAGGGGGGTGTAGGAGAAATCCACACCGCAGCTTTGCAACTGATCCATTTCAGATTTGTGCAGCATCTCTCACCAATTTTATGAGATAGTGAAACACCGCTTTTTTATTAAAAATCCCCTTATAACAATCCACTATGATCCTAAATATTCCTCAAAAATAATAAACAAGCTTTTTGTGTTGATGCAGCTTTGTGGAAACAAATACAATTAGACCTCATGCTAAAATGAGCAGCATACTAATTGGAAATGCTGAATCAATTATTCCCCAGGAATTCAGGGCTATCAGCAGTCTGAGATCAGATGCGGTAGTTCGAACAGCTTTCACAAATTCCTGATAAAAAATAAGCACAGCATAGCCACACTGAGCTTCTACTGTACATGAAACAGATTCCTCTCCTTCCCCATCTCATTTCTTTACGTTAAGCTGATTTTACTTCACAATTTGAAGTGTTCTTATTTCTCCCTCACTGGCATTTTGTGAATTTCTGTGGGCTGGATTCAAAAAATGCACAGAATAGCCCTTCACAGATTAGAGTCGACATGGAGCCTTTCTGAGGGAACCATATGTGTGAAAGCTTGTCAGTTCTTAGGCTGTAAATCCAAGACCACTGAACCGACACGCGGTGCTCCCAAAGCACTGTCTGGGTGTGCTCTCAGTGCCAAATCCCAAGCCCAGGGGAGCCCGGCAGCAGAGCAATCCCACAGCTCTGGCAGCAGCAGGGCTCCCCTCTGTCCTGGTCCCTGTTTTTCCCTGCCTGCTGATGCTACATGAGAGAGAACGTGAGCTGAAGGCTATCTCACACACATCCCTTGCTTCTACACAGCATCAGTGACTCTGATGCATTCCCAATCCAGGCATGCCTAGCCAGACCTCTGCTACCCACAGAACAATCCACTGCTTATTGAAATAACACAAGTGCCAGCTCTGCAATCCTCACAGCAGCATGAGCCAGCCTGGAATTTCTAGGATTAATTCTTTATTCCACATCTTGTGATGTAACTGCACAGATTTTCCTTACAAACTTAGTGATGAATCTCATCCTCAACCAGAAAGGATCATTTTGAGAACCAACCCTGGCATGGGTTTGGGCTGTTTTTCCTTCTCAGTGTTGCCACTAGGTGAGATTTGAACAGGCAACAATAAATGATTTGTTGAAGCATGATTTAATTAGAACAGCACAGATGTTTTCATTAATTTGTCCTATTCTTCAACAGCACACGCTCCTCTTCTTCCATCACAGATTAAAATATTTTATGGCTCTGATATGACCTGCACTTCTCTGTGTCTGATGTCTTTCACCAATTCCCCTTTTAAACAGCCAAAAGCAAGACAGCTTCACTACAGCCAAAAATTGCTCTTTCTCTATTGCACACTTTACACTCCCTGGAATACAGGTGCAGCTTTCTTAGCAACTGATTATCTCAGTCAGCTTTGCAATTCTTTGTCCATAAACCATTAAACACGGGCCTGACCCAGCTTGCAAAACAAAAGCAATGTATTTCAAATCTCAGAAGAACTGTGTCTGGTGCTTCTATCAGCTGTCACAGTGCCAAGCAACACCAGAGCACCTTATATTTTTTCCACTTTATTAAAGACAAGTGAGACACAGCTTCTTCTTGCAACCACAGATAACTAAGATCTTCTGTATTTCAATTAAAACCTATCAGACAGTCCCTTTTATTCATGGGGATGCAAAATTATATGAAGTTACCCAGTATAATTAAAACTCTGAATCTTACTCCCCAAGAGCACCTGTGCTCCTCTCTGAGGTTACATAGCTGGATCTATCACATGAAGGTGAGTTTGCACTTGACTATTATGTTCAGGTCTTATCTTTGTGGCACTCACTTACCAATTAAGGCAGGAAAGAGAGTTTTAGTTTGAGTTGGTTGGGCTGGGTTTTTTCCTGGTTGTGTTTGGGCTGTTTTTGGTGTGGTTTGTTATTTGGAGTTTTTTGGGTTTTTTTTCTCTTGATGATACCAGACCCCTCACATTTTGAGGCTCTCAAGGTTTTGATATGGGGTTGAGTCAAACTTTGCTTTTTTTTTTAAGTGTTAATCAGTAGCTATAGCTGGATGGTTATGATTAAGTAATTGCATTGTGAGCATCTTATGTTTGGCTAATCTGTTTTAAGAAAAAGAGAAGACAATCCCCAAATGAACGGGCTGTTTGGATGAGAGGTACCAGGAGTGAAGTCAGAACTGAGCAGTACCTGGAGAAAGGTGATTCTGGCAGTAGGAGAGCGTGACAACTCATTGACCACCTACTCAAAATGGGCCCCAGACTCAAATGGAGGGAAGAACTCTGCCCGCAGAATAATTAGCAGGAGAAACAAGAGATTGAACTAGCAAAGAGGGGAGTTGAGTAATCTGTAACCATGAATGTTGATGCCTTTGTTTATTACATTGTATAAATAGTGTGAAGTTTGAATGATCAGTGAAGTAACCTTCCGTGGCTCACCACCCAGCTCCCCACTTTGCACAAACAAGAATGAAAAATAGGAATACCTGGCCTCAGCATGTGACTTAGCACTGGCACCAGGTAGTGAGCCCACATTCAGGTCCACGTTGATGCCAAGTTTGAACCACGTACTCCTTCATCCAGCGCCAGCCCAGCTCTGGGGCAGCCTGCAATCCTGCCAGACCCTGCCACAGCGGCCACCTCAGCTCAGGGCATCCCCAGCTCTGCCACAACAGCAGCTCCAGCCCGGCTGCACAAGGATATTTCCAGTGGGACACCTGAAGGATTTGTCCCGCACCTGCCAGAAACGCTCACTGTCACACTCAGTTTGAGCACGGGGATGACCCAAAAGCAGGGAAGCCCCGGCCAGGAGCGCTTTCCCCCGCCAACCACACCAGGCCGAGTCCCCCTGACCTCCCCTGACCTCCCTAAGATGGCGGCAGCGAGCGCCCGCCCACCCTCGGCAGCACTGTCGCGATAGCGCCGCGCTGCCGCCGCGCTTTACGGCAAAGCCGCCCGGCGGGGCAGGAGGCGCTGGTGGGGCCGGTCCCGCCATGGACCGGAGGAAGAAGCCGCTGGACGTGGCCGCGTCCTCGGTGAGTGACTGAGCGAGGAGAGGCAAAACGAATCCCTCCGCCTGCCCAGAGGGCTTGTAGGGCTGTGAGGTGTGCTTAGCCGCGGGGCTCCCGCAGGCGGGGTGGGCCTGGCTGGAGCAGGCCGTGACGCTCGACCCGGGGATGCGCTGGTGCCAGCGCTTCCAGGGAAAACAGCACACCTGGGAAGTGCTGGTGTTCTGTCTCCTCGCCTTAATCCCACCGCCGTGTGCAGACACTGCAGAAAACGCTGGGTTAAGGGTTGTGGTAACGCCTGTGTCGCGTATCGGGTCTGTGACAGTGTCGGGGCCGGGATTTTGTCCCCTCGCTTTCTGACCAGGCACACGCCCTGCGCTCCGAGCCCGAGTCTGCCGGGCCTGGATTTGCTCGCATTCCTGATGTAATGACAAAATTAGGCCATAACAGGGAAAAGAGTTTTTCCTAAGGAGCAGGTCTCTGCTGTGGCAGATTAACTTCCCACCCTTAGGGATGATGAGGTGCTGCCCCTCACTGCTCTCCAGGATGCTCACGAGAGATGCTGCCAAACACTTCAGATGAAGAGTTATGTAAATAGTTCATGTATGTTAATAGTCACCTGTGAAATATTTTACATTGAATTTTTGGATGATCACATCAAAGCAGAAGGGAGAATGGGTAATTTTTAGGACACTGCACTTTGTTGTCCCAGGGGTTTGAAAAGTACATGCTTTAGTGATTGGGACAAATATCAATACCAAAGTCTTCCACTTTCTGGGTTTAATGTACATTTCTGAATTTTGTTGTCCTTAGGACTTGCAGAAAAAGTAGCACAATGTTCTCTTCCAGAGTAGTTTTGTAATTCCAAGATAACACCCCTGTCAATCATGTTTCTTAATAAAAGCTGAGATGAACCTTGGTCACAGATGGCAATGCTACTCATACTTTTATCAATTCTTTTCTGAGACAGGATTTTTTCATTATCTAATGGTTAAAAGTTCTCTCTTCATATTCAGTAGTATTTTTCATTACTCCTGTATTTATTTGGGGATTGTTTAAATCCCTAATCATAATTTGCATTCTCTGGTTCTTTATTTTGTTTGCTGTAAAAGGTGATTTATACATTACTTATTGCAGTAACTGATGTCTGTGCCTGTGATCTGTTATTTCTGTGTTGTTTTGCTGGTGATGTAGCTGGTAGATCTCAAAGCCGAACTCTTCCGAAAGCAAGAGGAGTTCAAGAAAGAAAAGCTGCTGAAAGATGCTGGTGTCTTTGCAAAGCCCAGAACCTTTAATAAGGTATAAATAATCTTCCACTGTTGTTTTTGTCATTCTTTTTCCTGAAAGTAAAGAAGTTATTCAAATCTAAATAATAGTAAATACTCAGAGCTGTGTTTCTAGTCAAATATAAAATGTACATGATGAGAACATTCTTTCAAGTTCATTTCCAGGTGAGATTCCTGTGCACAATGGAAAGCTTAGTGTTGTGCTTACGCCTGTGTAAATCCCCACTTAATCTTCATTCCCCAAGGATCCGCACCCTTTAATTATAGGAAAATATGTTTCTTTTTTTATTTAGAGGATTTTGCGTGATGATGCAGGATAGGGAATAATAGATTTTTCCAGAGTCACTGAACATCCTTGATAAATGCTCTGCTAACTGTTTGTGGTATACAAGAATGAGTACACAATTATCTCTTATTTTACTCTATACTGCACTTTGGGTTTTGTTCATTCTGTAGCTTTCTAGAATCAGAATGTGCTGTTCCCTGCCATATTTGAAGCACGTGCAGCACTTACAGTATTATGCTGCAAGCAGGCCAACTGATTGTATTTTTTATCTAAAATAGAGGCAATAGAGAATAGAAACAATTTGTAGCTTTGTTAGTACATATTTAATCAGCAAGATTGTATGATTGGGTATTTTTTAACCTTAACATCTTTGCCAGAATAGATTTTGTCTGATTTCTAGGTGTCTTTGAGTTTTTTAGCTTCTCAGCCTGCCCTTAATTATGATATCATCCTGCAGCCTGTGTTAATTCAGAATATACCAGCTGTATCCTACAGCACAGGAATAGTCTCAAGGCAAACGTGTGTAAGATGTTATTTACAAAGTTTTCCATGATTGACCTGCATTATTTGCATTATAGAGTTGAAATTTTTTTTTTAATTGTTACCATTTCAATATTTTTATCTGTTTGTTGTGGCAAAATTGTTCTCCACAGAAACCGAATATCTGGGCCAAACAGAACACCGGAGTTGTAAATCGAGCTGCAAAAGATGTTGAGCAGAAGGCAGAGGAGCAGGATATATTGGATAAATCAAGGTAGCTCTTAGGCTCTGTAAGAAAGGAATGCTTTGCAAAATTTGTTTTTTGGTATTTAGAAAAGCACAGAAGTTTTTTGGATTAGCAATTCTCATTAGACCAGCCAGTAACTCCAGCATCATCCATACTTTTTGCCAATAGTGGACAAACTGCATCCCAGCAGTCTCATGCTTTCATACCCTCACATTATCACACCTGTCTAAAAGTGTCAGGTTATTTATTTTTTTAAAAAGTCTTCTTTAGAATTACCAGCCAGTGCAGTGAGATGTCAAAATTCTATAGCAAAGTGTTTCTTGGGCTTGGCAGAAAATGGATCACTTTTTCAAGAATTACCTAATTTTCTAAATGGCTTGGTTGTACAAAAAGATATATGTTGAAAATGCCATTTATAAACCATTTGCTGTGCTTCTGTAAGTAGTTCCTTGCTCTTTGAAATTCCAGAAATTAGCTAAGGTTCTCTCTTCAGCTTCCAAGATTAATTGTAACTTTGTGTTATCTCTTTTTTTTTCCTGTAAAACTGTCTTTCAGTATCTGCAAATAATGGTTTAGCTTCCAGTATTTATCTGACAGACGGCCATACTTAGATAAAGGTGGAATTATTGTAACATCATGTTTTTGTCTACTTGACAAATTACATTTAAGATTAAATTTGTAACTTCACTAAAATGATTTTCAATATAAATTCTGGAACTGGAGAAGATTGTATCTCCAGAAATGCCAGTGAAGGTTCAAAACAAAAGCCAGGCATAAGTCAGCTTCTAATAAACACCTCAAGCACTCCCAGGATTTTCCTCTTCCATTTATCTAAGGTCACTTTAAACTGTGTTGGGAATTGGCAGGATTGCAAGGTTAATCTTTTTTTCTTTTCTCTTTTTCAGGAAGAAGCTTGAAGAGAAAGCAAAGCTGTATGAGAAAATGGTAAAAGGCGACTTTCCAGGTGAACAATACTAGTCCAGAATGAGTATTTATATATGTATAAATTCTTGGAATTATTATACAAAGTGACTGACATGGTTTCTTCCACTTTGAAAAGGAGAAAGCATACATTTACTGGAGAAAATAAAATTACTTTTGAAGAATAGCCTGACCAAGTAAAGCACTAGGGGCTTTTTTCACTCATTCATTAAGTGGGTGGAGTATATTCTGGTTTTTCAATACAGTATCTTAGAAAAACAAAAAAAGTTATTCTCAGTTGTGCAGCCTTGGATTGCATTGCTGATGCTCTGTTCTGCATTCTAATTGTTGGGCCTTTATGAGGAGAAGAGGACTGGGAGAGGAGTCTGGCTGGTCCATATGTGAATGTCAGCCATGCAGCTAATAGGGTTAGAGAATGCTAATATTTTCCTTTCTTCTCTCACACATTCAGTCCCTTTCAAAAAGTAATTATTAAAATAGAATATAAATCTCCTTGCAGGTAATCTGTTTTCTTTACCAATGTCCATCTTCATCCACGTGACCCCACCACTTTCCTCTACTTTTCTATAAAGTACCCTTATGAATGCTTGGCTCCTGCCAACATACCAAATGTTAAGCATCAAAAAAAGTATTTGAGCTGTTATTGTACAAATCCTTGGCTTATGAAATAGTTAACGAGCAGAGAATGTTTTGCTGCAAAGAATGCAGCCTTTTCTGTACTGCACACAATGCCCCGAAACTTCAATTCAGAAATAGACGTTATCACTGTGGAGCCAGTTGATAGCTCCAGGTTTGTTTGGCACTGAATGAGGTTTAAGTACTCCCCAATAGTGTGGTCAAGGGCATTGCTGGCAGCTGAGAAGCTGATTATGGCTATTTGGTATTGATTTTGTGCTCAGTTCTGTTCTTTTCATAGCTGTTCTCTAAGAATTGATTTTCTGCCTTAGATGAAGAAACTGAGGATTTGTACCTGGTGGATTTCACTCAGAAGATCATAGACAAACAGCACGAAGTACAGGAGCTGCATCAGAGCGAAGCTGCTGGGAAGATTTCAGAAAGAGACACAGATGAGGAGGAAACTCAGCCTGAAGCAGACATTCCACCGCCAGAGGACCCAGATGAGGAATGGTTGGTGCTACTGATTGGGCTCATCTGTCCTGGCCCAAACTCTTATTCTTGAGACTTGCATGAGAAAATACTTTTCCAAAATGTGTGAAGTGGCATCTTTGTTTTTATTTTTTGTGTAATACTACACATTGACAAGGAGGTGTTAACAGTCTTTCATTTCTCCTATAGACAGTCCTCCATGTCACTTTCATTTCTACATAGGTAACACTGCGACAGAATCTACATCCAGGATCTTGAGAAATTGCAATGAGGGCAATACACTATAGGGGGCACAGCATAATCTCCTCTTATTTTCTTGCATTGCTTATGCAAGTATTCATCACAATATTGGTACCATTTTGTGCTTTGATGTGCTTAATTGAAATGTATTTTAGCAAAACTTGAGGATTTTATGGCATTCATCTTCCTTTCTTTAATTGTGACTTTAAAATGAGCAGTCATTTCACTGTACAGGCTTCTCTTAAAGGCAAGAAACTCTGGTTGGAATAAGAACACAATTTTCAGCATTTCTTCCACTTAGCTGCAGCACAGCAAATAGTCTCCAACCATTTTTTGTGTCATTCCAAGTAGCCACTAGTTTTCCATCTGAGATATTAGGAATAATTATGAAACCAGTCCTGACTAAACATTTTCCTTGCCCATTTGTTTAAAATGGTTGTGGAACAAGAGATTTTACTTCTGGTATCCGGTTTAAACCAACAGTAACCAGTACAAAACAGCATCCCCATTATTCAAATATTAAACTGTAGACATCCTTAGAAACTATGTAAAAGACTTACTAAAGCTCTGATCTTTAAAAGTTGTGGAATGGGAGCCAAATTGCCAGTCGTACTTTTTCAGATGTAATATTCTTTAGAATGGAGTAATTGAGGCAGCTTGATGCTAAAGAACTTTCTACGTTTCAGGACAATAAGTGTAGCTCTTAATATCTTTTTCAACAACTGTAAATCAGGTGTTCAGTACTATAAAGAGTTGAGTAAGAGGCACAATAGCTTCAGAGGAACATTTTGCTTGTGTTTTAGTCAGCCTTTGTTATGCCAGTTGAATGCACACTATCAGTCTGTTCTGAATGGCCTTTAGACCGATAATTGAAATGTATTGTAGCGATTTCATATCTACAAGAAGTCAATGCTGCATCATTATCTTCACCATGGGAAACAAACAGTAGGCTGAGTTCTATTTTGTTGTGAAAACTACATGAAATTGTTACTTTTGAACATTTTTTACACCATTTTATTGCCCTGGCAAACAGGGGTCTCAAAGGGAGATTGAATAAATGTCTGGTAGAAATGTCATATGCGCCATTCAGAACTGTCCTCTTAAACTGGGAGTGTGTTAAGTGAAAAGCAGGAACAACTGTCACACACAGACTGAAAGGTGACAGATGCTCTTTGGAAAGGGTCACTGCTTCTGTCTTCCGGGTAAGACTTCTGTCAATCTGCAAATAGAAGTTTTGCATCACATTTCTTTTCCTTTCATTACAGGGTTGATTATGTTGATTTCTTGGGCCGATCTAGACGCTGTATGAAGAAGGATTTACCAAGTCTACTTAAAATGGATCACGAACTTCAAGGGAAAAGGTGTGGTTTCTGTAATGGAGCTGCATGTTCCTCTCAGTATTTAACATATTTCTTTTTTAATGAGAAGAGAGGCTGTGCTTTGTCAATCCATTCTTAATCCAGAGCTGATGTTACTGCTTCCTCTAGATCTGCATAATTTTCAGAGAAAGGTTTTAATAAATTGATCTAGCAGTCTCAGATATTTGTTGCATCTTTAAAAAATGGAGTCCTTGTATTTCTTATATTATAAGTCCTTATGATATATGTTCTGTAAAATGCCAGGAAAATGATTCCTGGTTCTGTTTAACATGGAAATTGATGATAGTCTTCTAGCAATTTCAAATTCTTCATTATGTTCAAATTTGTTAGACCTCCATTTGTTTGGTTTTGTTCCTCTGTTAAACAGCTGTTTAACAGCTCTTCTGTTAAAATTACTTCTGTATTAATATTTGAATATTAATATTTTGCGTGGATCTCTTGGGGAAATGCTTAGCTTTTTGTTTCTTCAAATACCTTTAATTTTCTTACATTAAATCTGAAATGTTCCTCTTTGTGATTGCTAGAACCCCCAAAGATGCCATTAACTGATTTTTTCATCTCCCATTCTGTGATTGGATAGTTATTTCCTGAAGCTTCTGAGAAAGGATATGATTTTGTCTTCTAATAACACGTTCTACCAGTACCTTGTTTTAGAGGCAGCTTTCTATTTCTATTTTGATCACGTACCATAGTCATCAACATTGTATCACTAAGTAGTGTCTGCAATGATCTGTGTTTTGTGGAAACTGCAATAGTGGATCAGACCCAATCATATTTGCACTGTTTGGTACTGACAAACTGGTAAATTCTGCTCTGTAATCCTTATTTTTTTTTTTTCTTAGACAAGAACCTGATGGGAATACTCTGTTATCTGAAGACATGAGAAGAGAGCTTCAGAGGCAGCAGTGGGAAAAGGAAGAAGAAGAAGCCCTCAGAAAACCCATGGGACCCATACATTATGAGGATATTCGAGAAAATGGTACACTGCCATAATTTATATCACTCACCTTTGTATCACCAGAGAGATCAGTTGTAGAGGGAGCAAGGGAAAGTTATTTCCTGTGCCTGTATGGCAAAGTGTAGGTGTGTGTTAAGCCACATGTGCAATAACTGTTGAAAGTTACTAGTATATAAGTCTAGATTTATTTTTTCTTCAAATTGTATTTTTCTCAAATGTTTCTCTACCTCCTCCTGTGTTCTCCATCAGGAAGCTTCACTTGATGTACCATCTAAAGCAAGCCTTTTTTAGCCATCCCAGTGTTGGGAATAATTCCATGCCTGAAAGCAGGGTGCCTGGAGGCTGTAGTTTCTGTCAATTATAAACGGAATCTAACTTAAACCTATTGTTTTTCTCCTTTTCAGAGGCCAGGCAGCTCGGTGTTGGTTACTTTGCCTTTTCTCGGGACCAAGAACTCAGGCATAAACAACGGGCAACCCTGGATATGCTGAGGGAGCAGGTATGAGAGTAAAGAGCAGACTGGGCTGCAAGGGCAGAGTGGTTTCAGTGGTTACTGTCTCTGATTTGTTGTACAAGTGCTATATTAGGTGATGCCTGCAACTGGTTTCTTTTTTCCCGTTGAAACCTGGTACTTGATTAGGATTACTTTTAGTTGTTTTGTGAAGGAAGATATGTACTTGTTTATAATAACAAAGGAAGATTAATTCATGCTTTTCATTGTTGTTAAGACGCTTGATCAGAGAAATAAACGTGAACAGCTGAAGGAGAAGAGGAAGGCAGCTCTAGATGCAAGGCTGTCCAAACTTCGAGCACGGAAGATTAAAAAGTTAAGGGAAGCTGGATTAGAGGAAGAGGCGGAAAAACTGGAGAATGGAGGTATGATCTGTTGCCTTTTTAAGTTAAATACTTGCTATTTCACCTTGTTCTTGATCTATGGACAGACAGTTTCTAATTTATTATGCTTAGACATTCAATAGGTTGTATTGTGTGTTCTTTGCATATAATTTTTCTTTGTATATGTACAATTAACATAACTGTTAGGATAATGAAAGTTGATGTAATTGTGTGTAGATATAAAATCATGCCAGAAGTAGCTTAATAATGCAGGTAGAAATATAGTATGTAGAATGTAGCCTTTTTTTGATTCACACCTGACAGCAGGAATTACTTGGGTTAATTATGCAGGTTGAGGTTAGAACTGCTAACACTGTACTGGCTTTTTCTTCCATGAAGATGAGGTAGAATAAGTAGTAACAAGTCAATTTTGATATCGTACAATATTCACTGTGACAATTTCAGTGCAATGTGTGAATTGGAGATACAGCTGACTCTAGGATTTAGGATAATGAATTTGAATTCTAATCCTGTCTCTGTGCTGTCTCCCTTACAACACTGATAGTCAACTTTTACTGTCTGTCTCCCACTGGAAAATGTAGCTAAGATTTCCCTGTGTCAGAATTCCATGCAAGTGATTAACTGTGAAATGTTCTGGAAATGAAGAACAGCATCGTGTCACTTCTCTCTGTTATGGTTGTTCAGAAGAATAAGAATGCAAATTGTTTTCTCCAGTAAATAAAATAGTGAAGCTGTTCTTATTGGAAATAAATGTTCTTATTTTTACCTGTGAGGGTCATACTTTATTCTGTAACTGACAATCTCTACTATCTCTTCCTGTAACACAGAGGTGAAAGGTGCTGCTGAGGAACCAGAACCTCCTAAGGTTACTTCAGCAAGTAGGAAAGTAGAGGTTATCATCCAGGAGAGGAGAGATACAAAGCCTGGAGTGCCTTATGTCCGAGAGTGGGATAAAGGCAAAGGTAAGGAAATGTAGATTCAGGAATTTTGTTGGGAAAAAGCATGTATGCTGCCACTTCCATTTATATTTTGTGACCAAAGACTGAGAAGCACTGAAATCCTTTCTGCCTCGGTACTGATGACTCTTCAGTGTCCAGGGCAGTGACTGACAAGCATGCCTTAGTGCCAGTAGCTGCTAAAATGTCCCCAAAATTTTTCTCCTGTATGAATTACTGCATTTCTGGATGATCCTGACAAGTTGGCAGAATGACAAATTCTGTAGTTCATAAGATGTACAGTGTGATCTTTCTTGATATATTCCTGTGGTTTGTGCTACCTGATAGCAGGATGTTTCACACAAACAGGCACAGCACAATACTAAAACATGATGCAGGCAGAGACCACTTGAGTGCCTGTGTCCCATTTTGAAGCATCTTCCTCGTCACAGTGATGGCTGTCTTGTAGGTCCTTCCCAAACCTATTAACTCATTTTGCACTATTAATCTAAGTTTACGCACATTCGTCTAATCTGATGCCTGACTTCTAAGTAAAAGCAAACAAGGAATAGGCAAAGCACATAAATGCTCATCTTCTTTATTACTTTAACAGCACTATTCCTTTTATGTGCAATACTGGTATTTCCAGATTCTTCTTTTCAATTTTATGTTCCATTAATGAACATCACTGTGAGGGAAAACTTCATGGTTCCATTAAAACTCCAGATTTTCAGATCCTATCTCATAAATCTTTATCCTGCCTGACACTAGCTTTTTCCTTCCTCTGAGGAAGCCTGGTATGTCACAAACACACAGGCAACACTGCAGCAAACACTACACTCAGAAAGCAGAGGACAGCTTACTCTAAAATGCAAAGTGAACTAACTGTGGTCCACTGAAGGAATCTGCACGAGATTCTTGTATTTCTGTGTAGTATGAGATGGAAAAGGATCTTCAGGTGGCTTTACACAGTTGCATCTTCTTTGTTTGCTGGTTTGTTTTCCCTCCTGTCTGACTGACCTTCAGACCTTGAAATCTATGCTAAATCTACCATTTTCCTGTTTCTAACAGAACTGATGTTTGGACAATGGGAAAAGAAACAGGAAGAACTAAGAGATGAGCGAGACCCAGAATTTGCACCACCATCTGATTACTTTTTGGGACAAAAGAAAGATGATTATTACCGAAGTAGGAATTTGAACAGTTCTGAAACAACCTCTGAAAAACTGGAAACAGAGGGAGCACAAAACCTACAGAGGCCATCGGCGCAGGGCAGCAGCAGCAGTGCTGGAGACGTGCCACTGTCAGCACAGGCTTCCAACAGCAACATTCCAGATAAGCCAGGGTCAGCAGAGCCCGGTGACCATGACACTCAGGGCGTGTCATCAGCAGAGGATGACAGCAGCGACGACGAGGACGTGCTACCACCAGCACAGGCTTATGGCTACGGTGCCCGAGCTGTGCCACCACCACTGCAGGGTTATGGCTACAGCACCCGGGGCGTGCCACCGCCCATGCCAGCCTACGGCTACGGTGCTCCTGAGGCACCCTTCCCAGTGCAGGCTTACGGCTATGGAGCACCAGGAATGGTGCCACCAATGCACGGGTATGGCTATGGCACTCCTGAAATACCCTTTGCAATGCAGGCTTATGGCTACAGCAGCCAGGATGTGCCGCTGGGAATGCAGACCTGTGGATGCAGCACCCAGGGTGTGCCACCAGGAATGCAGACCTGTGGATGCAGCACCCAGGGTGTGCCACCAGGAATGCAAACCTGTGAATGCAGCACTCAGGGTATGCCACCAGGAATGCAGACCTGCGGCTTCAGTGCCCAGGATATGCCACCAGGAACACAGGTCTGTGACCTCAGCAGCCAAGATGTGCCACCAGGAACAGACCCCTGCGGTAGCAGCACCCAAGAGATGCCACCAGGAACAGACACCTGTGTCAGCAGCACCCAGGATGTGCCACTAGGAACACAGGCCAGTGGCTGCAGCACTCGGGATGTGGCACCCCCAGTGCAGACTGACAGTAGTGACACGCCAAATCAGGAACCACTTTACCAAAGTTTAGATGATATGCTCTCTTATTATAGACAAGTGACTTGAGCTGAGCAAAAAGATAAACAAGAACCATGATCTAAAATACTGAAATATAATTAGTGCTCAGCAGAATTAATATTTTCCCACATATGGGAAAAATAAGTTTCTGTAAGTACATCAGAATAAATCTCCTGGACACTTAAGCTGTTTTACATCACAGCTATATTTTGCCCTGTTTTTTGCTGGTTTTTTTTTGTTCTTACCTCTTTACTAAAATTTAACTCTGATATTTACACCTGAATTTAAGGGTATATTAATAACTTTCTTTCAAGAGATAAACCCCTTTAGTTGGTTGCTCCCAGGTGGCTTCTGGTTTGGAGGTATTACAAGTTCAGTCACATGCATAGAAACTGTATGGAAATGGTAAGTCCTGTGCTGCCAAATACAGAATGATTCTGTTCCTTACTTAATCTCCTGTCTTTTCTAAGTGCAGAATATTACCTAGTGAACAGTGGTGGTTCACATGGCCTCTGCATTCCTGAGGTCCATATATAACTCATAATTCTGTGCAGCATTTTAGGATGGAGATACTGCAGAAATCGATAAATAATGATGGGTAGGCTAAAAATAAACACATCACTGAAGCAGAAGCCTTGACACTTCACATTACTGTCTTACTGGTTTAGAAAATCCTCTCATAATTCTCCAAGTGTGTTTTTCTTGCATTAAGAATTACATATACAGCTTTGTTTCATACTTTTTTTTTCCCCAAAAACTGTGATACTGGAGTCATTAAATATAAAAGCAGACCAATCTCTACCAAAGTTTTATTTCAGAATCTTAGTAAATGAGAATACCCACTTGCCTTGTAGAAGGTTTTTATTTCTGAAGGTAATTTAGATTACTTGTATCTTAAAAGCTTCATACAAGGATAAGACCTAGAAAAGCAGGTTAGAATGGGCAATTGCATAGATTGTTAAATGGCAGAGATAAAACAGTGAACATTTAAATGCAACAGTGAACTGTTTAAAGAGACAAGCTGATGTGCTCCTGTTGTGTGCTTCAGTCGGATCTCAGGCTGCTCTGCAAGTCTGGTGAACAGCAAGATGTTCAGTGTGACTGAAGGACATGCAGAAGAACATATTCTGTCCTCAAATTCTAATTTAGCCTCAATTCCTACATCACTGGCTTTTGCACTGGAATTTGCAGATCAGGAACAGTACATTACAATTATATATTAATTTAATGTCAGAATACTATTCTGAAGTAAGATAATACCTCTATCCCAATTTTGAAGAAAATGAGAATGGAAAACATGTTAGAGAAGGTCACACCCAGTTTTCCAGGCTGGCTGATTTACACTAGAGGATTTTCCTCTTCTAAGACCTTACAGAATCAGTATCTGGAAGCCAATCAGAGCAGGATATAATCTCCTTGCAGCTGAACTAACTCTAAGGAGTGGGCAAACTGTAGATCTTTACTTGAATTGATTATGGCAATCGTATCCTTCAATGGATTTCCCTGCAAAGAATATTTGTGTCTATTTTGCTGCTATTTTAATTGACATGCATTTCCAACTGCCTTTTGGACTTTGTTTTTTTTTGTGCCCTTCAGACTGTGATAATTTTATGTATATCTGATTTAGAAGTTATATTGTCTTTACATTAGTTTAACATTGAGCTAGAGCTGCAGTAAAGAATGAAATGCCATTTATTACATAGCATTATGTAAAAAGATACAATCAAAGTGTTCCTTTGTTCAGCTTCATTTCCACAGCCTAATATTAAACAGGGGGCTCTTGGCAAGGAGGGTGGTTTAGTGCCTACAGCACTGTTGAGCCTGTTGAGAACAGCTCCTCCACTGCAGTGAACTGTCACTTTGCCATTTGGTCTCCTTCCCTCTTGTCTTGCTTTTTTGCTGAAATGCTTTTTCCATACTGTCTCATGCTGTGGAGCACACATCTCTGTTCACTGTCCTCCCCTCAGACCACCTCAACTTAGCTTGGCTGGGATCAGCAACTTCATTCATTTCATTCAGCAGTTCCTGGGGCAAACAATTCCTGATTGATACACTGCCAAAGTTTTATTTCTCTCATATTTTGGAGCATGTTGTCTCCCTGTCCCTCTTCTCATTTAAACCACCTCCCAGGGGACCTACTTTGACACCAGTGGAAATGGGGATGCAGGTGGGCAGTGTTGGTAGGGATCTGCCACCATCAGTGTGTGACTGATGGAAGTGAAGTGAAGCCTGCTTGTGCTCTCACTGAGTGTAGGGAACTGTGAGCACACTCCGTCTCTGGTTTTGTTCCATGGGTTGGAGCTCTGCCCCAAGAGGTACCAGTGGTGGCTTGTGTCACTTTCAGTGTTCTGCACAGATGCAGGGACAGTCCCTGCTCTCTGTCTAAGGCAGCTTTGTCCTATATTTTTGTGTGAATAGTTTTCTGTTACTAAAGGTACCTTTATCCAAAATACAAGAATAATGTAATCCTGAATTTCAGCCTTCACACTCTGGCTGGCTGGCAGGACTCAATCTGATGTCCAGAAAAATACTTTTAGAGAAGACAATTTTCTCAGTATCACCAAGAGTTGATTTATTCCCTCTTGAAGCAAGGATCTGATCTTCCTAGGAACCACTGGCACGTGAGATAGGGCTGATACACTGGGTAAAATCTACGTGGCTGTAGCTGTGTCAGCTCAGGGGCCGACGCCGCATCGGTCGCTGGCTCCTCAGGGCTCAGGCACAGGCAGCCCGGGAATATAAGCCGAGGCCGTACGGGCAGGAGCCTCCCGTGCGGTGCGGGGGGCGCGGCGGGAGCTGTGGGGCCGCGCTGTGGGGCCGGAGCTGTGGGGCGGGAGCTGTGGGGCCGCGCTGTGGGGCACTCGCGGCGGGAAGCTGCCGCCTGGAAGCGCTGCGCATGC